TTCGGTGTCGAATTTTGTGGACGTACGCGATTGTTTTGCAAGGACAACGTCGTATAAGTGTGGCCAATTATATTTGGGATTGGTAGGGTCGAAAATTGGAAATTTGGCCCGGGACCGGAAAATTACCGTTTTGCCCTTGGAGCCCTAGGTGCTAATTCCGAATTTTAGGAGTTTAGATTGGAATTATCAGCCCTTATTATTGTAAAATTGGTGGACCAATCTACCCCTAGATATTTTAGCAAGATTTGATCCTAGCCATTGGTGTGAGGGCATGATGGGAATTTTTGGAAATTTGGTCAACCACCCCACTCACTCTCTCATTCTCTCTCTCCCCTCCCTCATTTCTTCCTCATCAAGCCGGTCACTCCCCTCTCCACCCTCTCCTACGCCAACTCTCTCCCTCTCCATTTTCCTTGTTCGGCGTGAACGCCGCCGCCGCCGGAGGAGCACCGCCGCCGCGCGCCACAACGGGGCCGCCGCTCGCCCCGCCTTGCACCGTCACCATTCACCCTCACTCCCTCGACCACCCATTCTCTCCTTCCTCAGCCGCCGATCAGCCCCTTGGCCGTGAACCGCCGATCGCCGCCGCCGCTTGCGCCGCCGCGAGAGCCACTGTCCGCCGCCGTGAGACCAGCTAGAGCTGCCCGTTACCCCCACCTGTTCAGCTTTGTTTGGAGCTTAGGAGCCTAAGTGAGTAATTAACCCTAAACCCTAATTAGGCTACTAAGCATTTCTAGATAGGTTTATGGTATTTTAGTGGTTAATTAGTGTAATTCTAGGGGTAATTATTGGGCTGATAATAGCGGCTGGTGTTGTGGTGATTTTAGTGGATTATTATGTTGATTTGGAAGCGGATTGGAGACCTAGATGTGCTGATTTGTGGCTGTCTATATTGGGATTAAATTGGACTAAGTTTGGATAAATTAAGGTTTATTCGCGTAATTGTCGAGGGTGCTTGGATTGACCAATTGGTGGTTGAATTGTGCTCTGTTGTTATCAAATTCATGATGCCATGTCGCGTGCATATTGTGGCCGTGTATGGAGTAGCATGGAGGGCCTCGAGTGTGCGAGTTTGTGTTGTGCTAATTGCATAAATTATGTGCCGATTGTGTGCCGAAGCCAAATTGCATTGAATTGCTTAAAATGGGCATGTTAATATGTTAATTTGGCATGTTGTGGCTGATTTGGATCGAATGATTCTTCGGGCATGCTAAAGTGTTATTTGAGCACGTCGTGGCATTTGTTGAGCATGTCTTGGCACTAATTGATTATGTGCCTAGGTGAAATTGAATGCTCGTTGTGAATTGTGTTGTTGCCCGAGTGCCGGATTGCATGGCCACGCATTTCGCATACCGAACATTGGCATGACATGAGAATTGTGCGAGTATGCGTGTCTGACATGAGCCTGTGATCACCTAATCGCCCTGATGCGTTTTACGCGAGGTTCAGATAAAATTTGGTACATGTACGTGTGATCACATAAAGCCCTGATGCGTGTTACGCGGGGTATTAAACCCGTCCTGATGCGTTTTACGCGGGACGATGCCCGGATTGCCGGAAAACGGCCAACCTGATGCGTTTTACGCGGGTTCGGTCCATATATGGAGATCGGTGTTGCGCCTGATGCGTATTATGCGGGCTAGAGACACTGGGCCTGATGCGTTTTACACGGGCCAGGAAGTATTGGATAATGTCAGACCTGATGCGTTTTACGCGGGTCGATTAATAAATGAGAATTGGCAGTGTGCAAGTGTGCATAATTGAGCCGGATCATGAGCATGGGCATAATGATGGCATATGTGTGCAAGTATGCGCGCATCGGTGAACCGTATGTGATGCCGACATCAAGGAGCATGAGCATGTGCATGGCGTACGTGTGGCCGCGTATGTTCGCGCATGTGCCATTATCGTGATTATTATATACCTAACATGCAGGGTCATTTGTGTGCTCGATCTGGGCCCAAGGGCCTAGGTCAATTAATTTTGATTTGTTAGTGTGATTGTTTGCCTGTCAGGAGGTGCATGTTAGCCTAGTTTAGGTTTAGGGGGTTTACTCGCTGAGATTCATTCTCACGGTTGTTAAAACCCACATTTTCAGACCCCCGGCCCTGAGGATGTCCGACGTGCCTATCCGTTTTGGGATCCCGTCCCGGATAGACCGAGAGGTGATCGAGTACCCCGTAGAGAACGGGGATACGTATATTAGGCATTTCACTACAGTGTGGGTCGATGTGGGCGAGCAGCATTTCCAGGCCCACGAGTAGCTTGGTGCTTTAGAGACTACTCCGGGACATTCGGACCTCTTAGGACTTTTGACGTCCCGTTCAACGGGCTAGGTGATGTAGATCCCCAGTGTGAGGATGGAGATCTGGTGAGCCCCGAGGCCTCGTTCGGAGAGGATTCTGACGACGGACACGGACCCGTCATCTGGGAGGTCGACGAGCCAGACCCGATGGATGAGGAGCCGGTAGACTGGGATTCCGACCCGGAGCCTATGGAGTCGGATGGCGAGCCAGAGCCGATGGAGTAGGACCCCGATCAGGAGGGCGAGCCTGAGGAGGAGGATTTTGAGGAGGAGCCGGTAGAGGCCGAGTCCGATCTGGATTCCATGGACTCCGAGGACGAGCCATCTGACAGCTCTTCTGAGTCATCGGGATCCGACCCGGACTAGGTACCGTAGGGTTAGCGTAGCCTTAGATAGGTCGAGCTGACACCATTTTGACCTGAGCCCTTCCTTAGTTGGTAGTCTGACCGCCCGGGCCACTTACCCCTTTTTGTCAGTAGTGGCCATTGACCCGCTTTTGGTTTTTGTGCGTATGCTGTAAATGGATATTGTATATGTTTCCCTAATGCTAATGCAAGTGTATATTCATAATGTTGTTTATTGTTTGTGCTATCCTTGGTCACGTGTTTTAATTGTACGGGTGTTGATGTTGCTTCCGCATGTGTCTTGATCTCTGTGTTGGGTGTTAGGTCGGCGACGCGTCCTGGAACGTCGCACAAATTCGACCTCGGTTGGGATGCTCGCGCGCCGTAGGGTTCGGGGCGTGACAGAATCAACCTTGTTAAACCAAACTACGCCCTGTGAAAACAAGTCGACTAATATGTTACAAAGAAAAAGCACGATTTCATCAATTCTTTGCTGAAAATTTTGTAATGACAAATGTGATCTAGGAAGATAAATGTCACTATCTCCTCTCATAGCTAATCTTTTGCTATTTGGTCTCTTAGTATCTCTTGTTGGGCAATCAGCTCCACCGGAAGTCTTGCAAAAACTGACATACCTAGCCCTCAGACACCATCCTCAAATTAAACGTGTCGACACAGTTCGTGCATACACCTTCGGTGTCCTTTACTTTGTTGAGCTTAGTAAAATTTGGGTTTTTGTGCTAATGATTTGTTGCACCTCCTCTACCTGTTATGCTCGAGTTGCTGATTCAATACAATGAAATCGATTAGTTGTTATAATGCACATTTTACATGACAATATCAGGTAGATATTGAGTTGCCCGAAGATTTACCGCTGAAAGAAGCGCACGGAATTGGAGAATCGTTGCAAGTAAAGATCGAAGAGCTCCCTGAAGTGGAAAGAGCCTTCGTTCATCTAGATTACGAGTGTGAGCAAAAGCCAGAGCATTCTGTACTCAGCAGACTCTAAAATAACCAGCGTTGACAAATCCTTCAACGAACTGGTCTTTCATCATTTGGATTCTCTAGCACTTGGATAAACTTCAGAGTTAGGTAATACGTAAGCTAAGGACAAAAGGAAGAACCGTTGTGTGCAGAATAGTTACTTTCCTCTCTTATTTGTTGCCCAAATGTTGCTTTATGGGATTTCAACTTCGTGAATTTTAAGCGGTGTCCAATATTCTACCGACCCAAAACGCGCACAAAAACATACTTGATGAGAAAAGCGTCGTTAACACAAGATGCAAGAGAAACTTTGTATGGGGAGACGAAATAAGCTGTGGAAGGATCGTTGGGGGGTCAAGTAAACTGGATACATTGAACAACGCCTGCTCTTAGGCATCCACAGAATACCATCAGTAATGTTCTACATGAAAGGTGTCGACTGCCTGTGCTCTCCTAGCCCAAACCATGCATGTGACTCTGCATATGGTTGGAGGAAAATGCTTGAAGCAAACCCTACATGCCATCTGTTTAAGAACTGTTGACAGTAACGGGCCGAATTCTCTTATGGTTGAACGGTTGACAAACACCTCCATCGCCTGTTGCTTCAAAGGGAATGGTTGGTTTTGGCAAAATTCGAGATCAGAGGTCATTGTTGATTCAGGCTGTTGAATGTGGGACTTATCCATACTGTCATTTGTCCTGATGATTGCAGGTTAGATACCAAGGATAGACTGCCAACTCAGTAGGGGGAGATCGCCGGATTGAAAAAAAAAACAATTTATGATAGATCTATTAACCACTCTCCATAAATCAGGGTCCAAAAGTTTGGTTTTTTTTTTTTTTTTTTTAATTAAAATTTTAAAAATAAATATATTATTATTATATTGGGGGCGGTCAGACCGGGCCGACCCCGTCCCCGCTTGGGGATAGACTCAAACGACGATATCGGGTACATTGCAAAAGGATCTTCACTTATGTTTACGATAATCATGACGAGTCGTGACATGCAAGTACATGTGAATCTTTGTACTAGGTTTCATTTCCATGAGAGATATCTAGCGTGGCTCCTCACAGAGAGAATTAGTTCTCTAAAGATTTTGTATCTGTCATTCCTCCTACTATCCAGTAAATAAGTACCACCGCCCTCATCAATTGTGAACGATTACCCCACTGGAAGCCAAAATAATGGAATTTTATCGTAGTAAATACGCCGACATGTTTTGTCATGACAAGAAAGAACTCTAAATTCATGAAGGGACAAATCCGAACATCAAACAGAGAAAGCTGCTATGATGATTGCTTGGCAAGCTCCAGATGTTTTCTTTCTCTTCATATAGGGGGAAAAATTCGAAAGGAGATTAAATAACTCAACTCGAAAAGAGAAAATTGTATTCGAAAATTGTGACATTCAATGGGAAATTATTGAGCACGAAAAAAAAACCATAAAATACTCAGACCTCTATGACCAAACAAGAAGATATGGACTGAATTCTCACACGACCACCTCACACCACCTCTGCACACTTTAATATAATGAGAACCTTATTCCATTGCTAGCAGCAAACAAATTGTACTCCTCAATAGTAGTTTCCTTCTTGTTGCAAGGGGCATTAATTTCCACAGGATCAGTCGAAACTTTTGTAGGAATATTTCCATCCGCCCCTACATCAGGCCCGACATTTGGATTCGATATGTTTGAAAGAGCCACCGGGCCGCCAAAATGGAAGAGGGAAAAGCCTGAGTCCTCAGGGCACACCTTAGCCGAAGAATTTCTCTGTCCGCTATCCCCACATTGTGTTGGCTCTGCAGATCTCGATCCTGTTTGAACAGCCTTCTCTTTGTTGACCTCATTCACGTCCTTCACACTGACACTTTGCTTGGGAATGCGATTTCTCTCCTCTGGGTAGTAACTGTTGGCTTTGACAGCAGGCTGATAGACAGGAACTGGACTAGTATTAGGTACAGCAGTTAAGTGCGACATGGCATCGTAGCCCATGCAGAAGCCAGAATTTCCATCTAGACCATACCCCAAAGGACCAGCGTACATATAATTACTTGGATGCGGATATGGCACTAGCCCATTAGTGTGAACTGCTGGCCACGGAACTAGATTTTGAGGGTAATAACCAATGGGTGCATGACCCTGAAACATCTGGAAGTACAAACTTTGGCTGTGCATTTGGGGAAGCGTTCCTTGATACTCAGAAGCTACACTGAGGTTCCCGTTTATATCATTTGAGGAGTGGGGCGTTTTAACTGGTGTATAAGAAGCAACACCAGTTGCCATGCTATCAAGTGGAAACCCAAAAACTGGTTGTCCACCCAGCACATCCGTTCTATCCCTAACCTCTTTTGCCTCCGCCTTGACTTTATGACATTCAGAACGGCTATCACAGGTTAAGGCTTCTCTTCTTTCTGAATGTGGACAGACATCCTCTGAATCCGATGTAGATGAAGACTCTATGTTTCCATGGTTTGAGGATGCATTGCTGTCTACCTCACTGAGGCATGATGAGCAGTTATCGGAATTGGAAGTGGAACTCGTAACAATATCACTTGTCCCATTACTGGTACCACTCCTTGCAAGACATGACCTAACTTCCTCATCAGTAGCTTCTCTTGAGTCGTGAGCATCTGCTGCACTAGCATCAGGTCGGCTTTTGCAAACTTCATCTGCTCCACTGCCAGAATCAGTAAAATCTTTCAGATTGGAAACTTTCTGATCAGTTCCAATTAAATCTCGACTATCTTCGCTTGAACACAACTCAACAGCTGACTTAACATCACCAGACTCCTTCCCTTGTATACTTAAACTAGAGGAAAATAAGGTAACATCAGAATCAGAGTTGCTCCGAGGGTACTTTTGCGATTCCATGGGCTCCCACACTTTCCTAGAATGGACTATATCCCTGCTAGTAATGCTGCCACTATTTGCTCTGCTTTTTGGTCTTCCAACACTATGAGCACAATCCACTTGATTATACTTATTGCTGCGATGAAAATTCTTTGATACATCAAATGCCGATTCTGAGCTGGTCCCAAATTTCCCCTCACGAGCTGCTCTGGACCCAGCAATATGTGGACCAACCTTTCCTCGTTGACAGTTGATCTCGTTGCAGCTACACGAATGGATATCATATCTGTCATTCATCCTGTTTTTGGGAGACTGAAACTTCTCACAGTATTTGGTGCCAGAGTTTCTAGATATTGATTTCTGTGAGTTCGTTCTTGTCTGCCTAATCCATCCATTCATGCCCCTGGAGTGAAATTCAATATTCTCATTAAAATATCTTGACTCAGATCGATTAGCCGCAGCACCACTTTCTGAAACAACAGCAGGTCTACGTCTGTCAGACCATCTGAAAAATTGTTCCTGTAATCCTTCTTTCTGAAACTTTGGTCTTCTCTGGGAAATTTGGGATATATCTGTCATAAAAGAACCAGCCACATCTTTCACATCGGCAAAATCCACCTCTGAACTCTCATTAAATGAATTTTCTACACTACTGGAGAATGTTTCATCTTCTCTATCCAAAGATGCAGACTTGGAAGTGACAACATCACCAGCGTCACAAATTGAATCGCCACAGCTAGCAATCTCGTTTGGCTCCTCAATGACACCTGGTCTTGGTTCATCCTTCAGGTCATACGAAACAGGAGGAACATCATCCAACATGTCTTTTTTCTCTCTATCTCCTTCTTTTCCTTTCAACCTCTCTTTTCTTCTAAGCTTTTTTTCTCTTTCTTTTGTTCTTCTCCTCTCCTTGCGCTCCTCTTCTTCACGCTTCTCCTTCTCCTCTTCTTCCAGAAGTTTCATCTGCATAGTTATTTTGAGCTGTGTTCATGGTACTTCACAGAGAACAAACATATTCAATGCAAAGGTGTTTCTTTAGAAAGGTGCAGACCTGCTTTTCTAACGTGATAATTTCTTTGCAAGCAATATGCACACGTTCTTCCAGCAACTTCAACGCAAGACAGACAAAAATGCTGTGTGCATTTTGCCGTGCTGTCCCCTCTCTAAAAGCCTTCTCAACCTGAAAAGCATATCACAAAAAGTCAGATGAGATCCTGTATTAAACTGAACCAAAACAAGGTTCACCAAAATCAAAAGACCAAAATGACTTGAGTATATCTCTGATAGATCTATTCTTTGTGGTCAGACACTCCCCGATGATCCATAATTCAAGTATCTAAATTAAACTTCAACACCTCAAAACCATCAATCTGATGGAAACACTTTCGTTGTCCTCTCATATGCATCTTATTGTTGTCTCTAGCCAGTCTACACGATTCTTACTTCTCTACTTGAGATATGGCATCAACATAATCATGAAAGTACCTATCTTCTGTTCATTTCCAATTTAAGAAAACATTCAACAATACCCATAAATCAGGCAACAACTACTCAGCTTATAGCAAATGACATTACACCTCGACTGTGCTTAGTGACCATAGCCATGTAAAAGTTTTAAAAAAAACAGCTCTGCGAGCAACACAGCACGAACTATTAATTATGGAACTTAATGTCTAAACTTGAGCTATACCATTGAGTTAGAACTCGATTGTGAACATACAATTAAGCTAATTCGAATCTCCTCTTTATGACCAACATTATCCACGCAGTAGTCAACAACACACAAGGGAACAGAAATAGATGCCTATAAGCAAGATGCAGTAGAATTCCGAGTAAATGTTTGATACATAAGAGTGACTGCTATGTAAGACAGCAATCTGAAAAAAGTCAACATGCCTGCTCCTTGAATATAACAATTGCGGCATCCAGAAGAAACTCTCGAGCAAGTTCGGGACTCTTTGCATGCTTCTGAGGACGTGAACATTCTCCATCAAGATCATTCCTATCCTTGTCCATGGAATCATCATCCTGAAAGCATACATACAGTTGAGTCAAGCTCCAGAGCCATGCCTATCATATGTTTGAACATAAGCTTTATGGCTCAGAACTTCAACTACCTCTTCTTCCTCAGCCTCTTCGGCATGTTCAAAAAACCTTCTAATGCTCTCCCCTCTTGTAATTGTCACGAAACCATTGCCAACTACAAGCCTACTATGCACACATTGTTGACCTTTTAAAGCATGAGCTTTAACAGATATGTCAGTAGATCGCCCATCATGTTTCCAAGCCCTCAAAGTGATAAAGCAAGCATTTAAACCACCAAGATCAAGCCCAGTGACTTGCACACTGTCACTCAGGCCAACGTTTTCAAATTCCAGAATGTCAGACTTCCCTTCTCCTGATCCAATTGCCCATTCAAAATGATGATATAACCCCACAGAGTCCACAAATGTTTGGTGCCAATCAGCATGAACAGTGTCATCAGATACCTGAGAGAAACAGCCAAAGCATAATTGTAACTGCTGATTACAGTAATCCAAAGTCTCATGAGAGATCCAGTTTCTTCACTTTTCGATTGAATAGAACATTATTTGAGCTGGTTGTCTCTTTTTAATGATTCACCAAAATCCAGATAAGGAAACTAGAAGCCATTATCAAAATAAAACAAACGAAGAGGATAGGAAATCACAAACCTCATATTGGAAGGCTGTATCTGCAGCGCAGAAACATCTAGTACATCGAGGTTCTTTACGCATCCGCTTCAGCTCCTTTAACTCCTTGAACTCACGAATGACATTCCTTCTGCAATCTCTGCAAAACCTCTTGCTGTCAAACCTGTACATCCATGCCAAACTTCAACATTACACAACTTTAAGAGCTATATATCCATTCAGAAAAATGTAAGTCACAGGCAAAAATCAAAAAGACAAAAAATCTTCCATGGAAAAAGATTTAATCGAGTTCCTAATATTCACACTCAAAATTAATGATACTCTCATAGTAAATTCTGTTCCTCGTGTAAGAACTTCCTTTTGGGTCATTATATAACAATTAAACAGTATAGCCATTTCTCTAGATCAAGCACATAGGTCTACAATTACATTTTGCAATGACCAATCCTTAGATAAATGAAATAAATCTTTTGCATGGCAACATGGAGAGGAAAAAATTATGTTTACATCCCTCCTAATACCAGTCTATGAAGCAGGAAGGAGACACAGATCAAGACAATGATTCAAGAATCAAGAAAGTGAAAATTCAGTGAGATAATTTGGGATACAGCCAGGTAATCCCAGATAAAGGCAATGACAAGAAATTTCTCTTTCTACAGTGGAAAGTACTGGCCCATCAATTATAATGGAACAGGTAACAAAAGAACAAAGACATGGGAAAGTCATAGGTTATACCAACCATTACAGCATGTATCATAAATCCCGAAATCTCCCGTTATTTTTGCTCCAAAAAGTTTGAGAGTCTGTGGATTCAAAACCCAGATCACTGACTCCTCCCACAACGTCCCCCATCTCAAAAAAAAAAAAAAATCTATGGGGCTCAAGCGGTCAAGCCAATCCACCCAAAGTGCTTCTCATGCTTCCCCATTCAAGACTCTCTGCGTTTTATATTTTGTCAATTAGGTTGCTCATTGTAGCTGTAGTTGGAGCGTTTCATGGTATAGCTTAAATTAATGGAGCAAATTTGATGCTTTTAGCTGCCTGATGACTCAAAATAAACTGAAGAGTTAATTGAGACTATCATGCAATCCCCACAGGCACAAGCCAAGAATATAAGTTAGCTTCTCGACTTGATACCACGGTGAGATAGATAATCCACATTGAGTATCTTTTCCTAGACCATCCTCAGATGCAAGCATTCCTAGGTCCCTTCACTTGGATGCACTCTCAGATCTCGGTTGTCTGTTTTCGCAATATATCTTAAGCCCACCCCCCCCCCCATAATCCACATTGAGTATCTTTTCCTAGACCATCCTCAGATGCAAGCATTCCTAGGTCCCTTCACTTGGATGCACTCTCAGATCTCGGTTGTCTGTTTTCGCAATATATCTTAAGCCAACCCCCCCCCCCCCCCCCTCCCTCTCTTCCCCAACAACAAATACCACAAAAAAAATAAAGAAATAAAAGATAAGGCCACAAAAAATCAAAAGTACCTCTCTCATAAAAGAAATGCATTCTTAAATGTAAAACAATTATGTGACTTGTAATTATCGGATTTTGGAAACACGTTCAGGACTAAATATATTCTAATTAGTAGAAGAACTGGATCTTCTCAAAATTGAGCTTCTTATCTCCATTTATAGCTATGCTAGGATAACCACCTTCTTAGTCAGTATAAGGATATCGCAGCTCTTATCCAGACCCCTCATCGAGACCCATAGTTCTCCTGCTAAAACCCACTCATTTTAACTGCATGTTGTATATAAAGGAAGAACCACACACCTGTACATGAGCCTCTCAATAAAATCCTCTTCCTTCATCCTCAAGAGAGACTGCCTCGTCTCTTCACCCAGAGCTGACCAGAAGTCCACCAGTGTATCACAAGAAAGTCGGGCTGTATGCAATGCACATGTTTCTCTCATCCCATGTCCTCGGCCATAATTTGTCGTATTTTGGCTGATCCAACCCCTACCTCCGCCGCCGCATGCATCAGGATAAAGTAATTCACGTTCCCGTTCTCTTGCACGTGCACTGTCAAATACCTGATTCAAGCAAGTTATCAGCAAGTGATAACAAGAATTTGATGATATAGTCATATAGAATTGCACTTACAATTTGGAGCCCCTTCAAAGATTTTGAAAACAAGTAGCCATCTAGAATGGTCAAGGACCCATCACGTGTTGTGGTTAGACCACCCCAAGGATGCACAGAAGGATCTTGAATCTCTTCCTGACACCTAGTAGTCACACTCAGTCCACCCTCATCCTGAGTTTTCAAAGAAGCTGCACTATTATCAGTAAGGTGCCCAACTGCTCCCTCCTGCTGGAAAGACTTCCCATACATGACAATTTGTAGAAACCCTTCAAGTAGCAAGCCATTGCAACGAGAACAGTACATGTTCTTACGAGCCTGCTCAAAAAGGGTCTGCTTATCAATCCTCAGGAGCTTTTGTCTTGCCTGTGGGGACAACTCACTCCAGAACTACAAGAAAATTTTCAGGTCTCCATCTTAGTACCGAGTCAATACATATGTCAACTTTTCAAAAAAAAAATCCATCTGGCAAAAGCCAAACATAAAAAGGGACGGAGGAGAGTAAGAGAGACATGATTATACAAACCATTACAGAATACAAACTACTTAGCGATTTACGTTTCTCGGTAATTAATTTTATAGGCACACAAGAAGAAAAGTGCATATGAAGTTGACATCTACCATTCTCCTTCTTAAAAACTATTTCAACTCTTCTAGTTTCTTCTATCTGTTTATTGCACTTAAACATAAACACTTGGACAGCATCATAAGGCATAGTTTTAAGGTGATATTCTTTGATTCTTTTTCTCACTAAGGCCCCTGAACCGAACAAAAGAGTCACCACGGGCAGAAACTTTGCACAACTGTCCTCATAATTCACATTGGCAATGTTGCGAAGCTCAGAGACCGTGCAGCCCTTATTCAATACACGATACTACCGCAATGGACACCGACATACAAATAAAATTGCATACCAGCTATACATTCCTATAATGCTCATCCTAAATCCTTACTACGTCACGCACACGCCCGATTACCATTTAATTCCCACGAGTATGTCCAATAGAGACTGCATTCAAAGAGGATCCGATATCCCGATCGACATACTACCTATCGAAGCTCCCTAAAGAGGATTAGCACGCAAGGACTCAATCCGCATTAATTCGACCGATAACGATACAAGCAGATCAACACGATCGATCGAAATCCGAATCCAATTCAACGAATTCGACCGTTCCCCACGACCAGGAAATCCGGGCGGGGGCGGGGGCGGGCGCGGGCGAGAGCCCTCTACCTTCTGGAGCTGACTGTAGCCCACGTCATCGTGCTGCTTGGACCAGAATCCCTTGGCCGCCGTCCGCACCGGGGAAGCATCGCCGGATTGGTCATTTCCCTCGGCTAATCCAGGCATCGTCATCTTTCCCCCTCAATTCGATATCCCCCGTCCAGATAACAATCCGTCCATCCCCCGCCAGAGGGCCGAAGATTCGCCTCCCCGCAAATCTAATCTAATCCAATCCAATCCAATCCAATCCAATCCCCCCGCCCCCAAACACACCCTCAACACCAACCACAACCCCAACGACGACAACAACAACAGCAGCTCCGATTCGGATTGCTCGATCGCAATCTACCACCAGTCCGATATCTCGAAGAGCAAGGCGACAAAAAAAAAACCCGAAAAATCGAAATCCAATCTCAATCGCGACGCCGTCGGAATCGCAGATCGGCGAGGGGGATTGGAATCGGCGGGGGAGCTCCGGTGAGATTCGATTGGGGCGGGGGAGGGCGATGAAGAATTTTCTTCCGTAGAGAGAGAGAGAGATCAGAGAGAGGGAGAGGGAGAGCGCTTGGGGTGAGAGAGAGGGAGAGAGAGAGAGAATGCAGGGTTTTGGTTCGACGATGAGATTTGGTTCTCTCTCTTATATAATGGGCTACCAAATGAGAATGTCTAGAGAGAGAGAGAGAGAAGAGGAAGAGAGAGAAGAGAGAGAGAGAGGGAGCTCTCCTTAGGTAACAGAAATGATGGGGCGAATGAGGCCACCGCGGTCAAGGCCGCTCGTGCGAGAAACGAAGGATTGGCGTCGCCATTGGAGGAACGACATGGTTTTAACTTGGTAAGGTCCTCTAAGGGTGATGGCACATCGTGTTGCCATGGGGTGCAATATGGGGGCTTTTTGTGTAGAGATGAATTAGGGCTATTGGGGGTAAGGTTTTTTTTCTTCTTTTCTTTTTTTCTCCCGGGTGAGAGATCGGCCGCCCGCCCCCTTGGCCCGCCGCCCTGTCGCGGCCTTTCTTTATTTGGCCCCGTCTTTCCGTGCGGGAGGGCACGTTTTGTCGGGCTAAACGGATCTGAATCGGCAAGTTTGTTTTTATGCGGATCGTGATGATCGTTCTGGACACATTTATGAGTCGCGACTTCTGGCCACGGTGCTATATGGTAAGAGAGAAATTAGGGGGGTTATCGAGGGTCTGCGTTTTTGCGAGCGAGAAATCAGCCACGCCCGGTCGCGTCTTGCTTTATTTGGCCCGTCTTTCTACGGAAAGGGATTGTCCGTACCGAAAATAACCGTTGCCGGCTCCAAGAACCGTGTTGCAGATGGGCCCGTTTCGTCGAGCTAAATAGATCTAGCTCGGGTGGGTTCGGATTGACGAGTTTGTTATGCGGATCATGATGATCGGGGAAAATCCAATACGTACGGGGGATTCATTCTGGGCACATTTATGAGTTGCGACTTTAGGCGCGACGAAAGTAGCTTGCTAGCTTTACGGTTACGAATAATGAGAAAATCCGATATGACGGGAAAATGTTTACGGGTTCATTTAAATTACATTTATGAATTACGACATTCGGCATGACAAAAAGTAATTCGTTAGCTCACGGATAAGGAAAATTTGATATGACGTGAATACATCTACAGGGTCATTTTAATTACATGGTTGCCGGGTCCAAGGACCGTGTTGCGGGAGGGCCCGTTTTGTCAAGTTAAACAGATCTGGCTCGGGTGGGTTCTAATCGACGAGTTTATCATATGGATCGTGATGATCGGAGAAAATCCGATACGACGGGTATATTAATTTGGGATTTTACTCTCCGTTTGTCACAGGTATATCAATTTGTGATTTTTCATGATATTAATCCAATTTAACGAATGGTAAATTTATCGCAAATGTATCAATTTAGGGTTTTTTATGGTCAAAAATTAGTATGAGGTAAATATGTTACAAGTATATCAATTTGGATAGTTTAGGGTAAATTTGTCAATTCGTGGTATTAACCCTCGTTAAATAGTATCTCAAGTAAATTTTGTTCTTAGCTTTGACAAAAGATATTTTTCCATACTAAGATTTGGACAATAATGAGGAGTGACTTTATGGACATCAGATTTTGAGTTAATTATACACGTCGAAATTGAATTTGTGATCTCGAGATGTTTAAAGCGCAGCGCCAATTCGATTATCTTTCGAATGAATCAGATTATATTATAATATGAAACCAAATCGGTAGCGATAATTCTGGCCTTACACAAATTGCCACTACTGAATGCTAATGAAGCCTGTCATATCAAATAACACAAAAACAAAAAGATTAAAATTAGCTACAGACTAGGAATAGCCAATAGCTATTTCCGGGAAAAAGTTAGACAAAAACATCTATTTCTCATTATTAATTGATAAATGAGTATATTATCTTCTTTCAGGGAATATCGATGTAAAGTGACAAAATCGATAAAATCCTAAGAACAAACTAAGAAGATTGATAGAAGCAAGATAGACCTCGATAAAGGATGAACAAATCTTAAGAGCAGAAAGTTCGTGAAGACTTGAAGGTACTGTAATAAGGTGAACAACTAAATGAAGTCTTGAATACTAATATATTCAGGAAGACCAACCAGATGGCTATACGTAAGTCGAGGAAGCTTAAATAGACTCACGAGAAGCTGATAGAAGCTCACTATATCAATTGCAGGGAGATAATCTTCACGTGATTTACTCAATTTGGATAGAAGTCTCATATATATCTCTCTCGACTTAATTTGTTGGTCAAGACCAAAAGCAGCTCACTTAATTTTGCTCACTGATATATGGTGGTTCAACTTATAACTAAACTTTGTTTACTCTTCTACACTAACAGTCACAACTAGACTTGAATCCACTAGTAATATAAGGGAGTCGTTACAAAGTAGCAAGTAATGCTTCTATCGGACGATAGAACAAACCATCAGAATGCAAGTAGAGCTTTTACACTTGTACACTTCTCTAATCATTGATTACCATAAGCAACAAGAACCCTTCGATATAGTGGGTCACGGACAGATAATAGCACAGTCGCACAACAGAGAGAGAACTTGATGGTAACAAAATGTAAGCTTTCTCGATTTTCCATCTACCACTTTCAGTGTGCTTTGATCTTCTTTTATAGGCGTTCCAACTCCAACCTATCCGTTGGACAGTCGTCGAGACGATAAAGAGCCGTTAGAGTTTGATAGGAGCAACGCCAAAGTGCATGCCGCCCATACGGTCTATTCTTAAAGGCAAAAGTAAGGTTTCCCAAAATGAAATCTGCTGCCGTTGTCAATCAGTTGTTCCTCCGACTATTTAGATAAAGCTAGCAAAAACTACTCCGGCTCAACACTAGTTATCTTGCCGCGAATTCTTGGCCTTGTAAACGGCTATCTTCATTTTGTTCAACGATCGAATCAGATGATAAACATAAAAATTTTCTTAATCAATTAATAGAAGCATGATAAGTAACTCCTACCAAGTTAATAAGAGGACGTGCCTATATCAATGATCAGATGGGGCTATTCAAGCTATTGAGCTGGGATTGACTTGTGAGCTTCTACCGGACGGTCTTCTTGAGTATATGATTGATTATGGCTCGATTTAGATGTTCACCATGTTATGATCCCTCCAAGCCTTTAAGGGTATCTCCTTCTTGCAGACTTGTTCTTCCAACTCGCAGACGCCTTTTTCACGATTTGCTTAGGACACCATTGATCGACACAAGGTGCTGCCGATAGCAATATCAGCAATCAATTTAAAACATCTGCAAATATCAAATAGGATTTAGGATGAATAGTTCGGTGATCATCAAAATGCTACCGGATGGTTTTTCCAATAGAAAGGGTATTGTGGCGACGCTAACTCCTCCTTCCCACAAGTGACTGAATCTCTGAGGGATAATGATACAAACAGTCCCTGAGCTTTGGCTCAATGTGTAATTTGGTCCCTGAACTTTTAATTTGTTCAATGTAGTATATGAACTTTAGCCTAATGTTCAATGTGGTCCCTAAACTTTCAATTTGTTCAATGTAATCCCTGAACTTTTGGTACATATTCAATTTAGTTCCTAAACTATATGAAAATACACAATATAGTCCCTGAACTTGAATTAATGGAAGGACTACATTGTACATTTTTATAAAGTACAGGGACTATATTGAATATGTATCAAAAGTTCAGGGACCACATTGAACAAATTGAAAGTTCAAGGACCACATTAAACATTGGGTTAAAATTCAGGGACTACATTGAACAAATTAAAAGTTCATGGACCAAACTACACATTGAGTCAAAGTTCATGGACTGTTTGTGTCATTTTCCCAATCTCTGAACCACATTTTCTCAGGTTTTCATGCACCTAGGTGTCCAATCAGCTTAGTTATTATATCTTTTAAAGATTGAGAGGTAGCGTCTTCATCTCTTATTTTCAAAAGCCCGAATTGGTAATCCAAGAAACGAGTATCTAGAAGGGTCATTCGAGCAACAACAGGTAATCATTTTTTACCATGGAAGGATAGTGCAAGACGAATAGCACCAAAGTGAAGATATGTATACCTTCAAAACCCTTTTTCCATCACAGCAGCACTCACGCCTAGCCGGATCCGAAACTAGGGTGGGGAGGGTGCCACAGGATGATAACACTAAGTCCTAAAACTTATGTCGATTTGACACTTGAGTCATGGGTTTTTATTCCGTGCATTTAAGTCCTAAAATTTTCGCTATTGTCCACATTTGCTTCTTTGTTAATCGAAATGTTTTTGTGACTTTTTCTATTATTTTTTCAATTCATGTCATGATTAACATGCCAATAGAAAGTGAAATAATGTCATTTAGCATTAAACTGCGTAGTTTTGTGGTAAAGATAAACTGTAAATAAAAATAAATTGAAAAATAAAAAATAAACTGAAAATTAAGAATAGGAGGAGGGGATCGGAGGGTGACAACAAGGATAGAAGGTAATAGCGCCGCCCCCTTTGTCACTGGCGAGGGCAAAAGTACACTATAAGTACCATAATTTGTGTACGGCGATCACTTTGGTGCCATAACTTTTTTTCGGATCACTTTGGTGCCAACTTTTTTGAAAAATGATCATTTTAGTACCAATACTGAAGTGGCTCGCCGGAAATCCGATGTGGCGCTGACACGGCTCGCCGGAGAGGTCCACGGCTCACCGGAGAAATCCAGTCAGCATTAAAAACCAAAAACGACGCCGTTTAACCCGCTGACATGTACTTTTTAAAAAAAATTTATATTATATTTAAAAAAAAAAAAAAAGAGGCTGCAGTAGCGGCGAGGGAGCCCTTGCCGCTGCTGCTGCCAACCCACTACCGCCAGGAAGGGCCGGGCCCTGCGGTGGTGGTGGGCACAGTGGTCGGCGAGGGTCGCCGGCCCCTGGTCGGGGCCCGGCAACCCTCGCCGAGCCCAGCGAGGGCCGACCTCGTCGTCGCCTCGCGACCCAGGCGACGGCGAGGTCTCGCCTCGCCGGATCCGGCCCTCGCTGGGCGA